CGAGCAGCCAGCTCATCCTCAGCTGCGCCTCCGCAGGCGACTTTCCTCTGTAACATCACACGGCCGTTCTTCATTTCTTGGAGTTATTATGATATAATCGCTACCTTTTAGACACATACACCATCGCTACAATGCCGCGCGAGCGCGCTACGAACGAAGAGGCGGCGGAGCTCTTGGGAGGGCACGAGTCGAAAGCGCGAATGTCGGAAGATGGCTCAGAAGCCTCGGTTTCCTCGATATCTACCATGTCCCTCGTCCTCGAACATATAAATGACGGCCCACCGAATGGCGCATCCCGTTCTGGGCTGAACGAGAAGTACCACGATGATGACGAGTACGTGCCTGGGCGTGCGCGCGAACAGCTGGACGTCGAAGACGGACGATTCGAACCTCTCAAGCCGGTCGACAGGAAAGCGCGACGCTGGCTATGGATTGTAGCCACCATATGTGTCATAGGCTGGGCTCTGGCACTCGCGTCGTTTCTCTACAATGGCAACTACAAGCACGTCTCTACACGACCGCACGATCCTCTAGCAAGTTCTACAAAGGGCTCGGGGAAGAAGGTTACTCTCGATCAGGTCATGAGCGGTCAGTGGTATGCGAACTCGCAGAGCGTGTCGTGGATCGCAGGACCGAACGGAGAGGATGGCTTGTTGCTCGAGAAGGGCATTGCTGGCAAGGACTACCTCGTTGTCGAGGATATCAGAAATAAGGACAAGAAAGGAAGCAAAGGACACACCACCCTCATCAAGGAGAACAGCTTCAAGGTTGGAGAATCGTACATCTATCCCAGCTCAGTGACGCCAAGCAAAGACTTCAAGAAAGTGCTTGTGCAGTCCGAGTACCAGAAGATCTACAGACACTCTTCTACCGGACTGTACTGGATCTTCGACGTTGCTACACAGACCGGCGAGCCTCTAGATCCCGAGAACCCTAACGCTAGAATTCAGCTTGCATCTTGGTCACCCCAGTCGGATGCCGTGGTCTTCACCCGCGACAACAACATGTTCATCCGCAAGCTTGATTCGAATCAAGTCACCCAGATAACGCAAGATGGCGGTGCTGAGCTTTTCTACGGCGTACCAGACTGGGTCTATGAGGAAGAGGTCTTTTCGGGCAACAGTGCGACATGGTGGTCCGAGGATGGCAAATACGTCGCTTTCCTCCGCACAGATGAGTCAATGGTTCCCACATACCCGGTGCAGTACTTCCTCTCTCGTCCCAGCGGAGAACGACCGAAGCCTGGGGAGGAGAACTATCCTGAAGTTCGCGATATCAAGTACCCCAAGGCTGGTGCACCCAATCCCATTGTGTCTCTCCAATTCTACGACGTCGAGAAGCGCGAGGTCTTCAACATCGAAATTGAAAATGACTTCGCTGACGACAACCGTCTGATTACCGAAATTGTTTGGGCTGGGTCAACCAAGCAAGTCCTTGTCCGTGAGACTAACCGCGAGAGCGACACGCTCAAGCTCGTCCTTATGAATGTGCAGAAGCGCACAGGCAAGACAGTCAGGACCGAGAATGTTGCAGAGCTCGACGGTGGCTGGATGGAAGTATCTCACACCACCACGTTCGTTCCTGCCGACCCATCAAATGGTCGTCCTGATGATGGCTATGTCGACACTATCATCCACGAAGGCTACGACCACATCGGCTACTTCACGCCCTTGGATAATCCCAAACCCGTTGTGCTTACCCAAGGCGAGTGGGAAGTCGTCGACGCCCCATCGAGGATCGATCTCAAGAATAACCTCGTCTATTACATATCTACCGAGCACGGCTCGACCGAGCGCCACGCATACGCAGTCAAGCTTGATGGCACTGGGAAGCAAGAGGTCATCAAGAACAGTGGAACAGGCTACCACTCTGCATCATTCTCTACGGGCGGCTCATTCGCGTTGATCAGCTACAAGGGCCCTGGCATTCCCTGGCAGAAGATCGTCTCCACACCCTCCAACTCGGAGAAATTCGAGAAGGTCCTCGAAGAGAACAAATCCCTTGAGCGCTTCGCCGCAGCCCACGAGCTTCCCATCCTCAACTACCAGACCATCGATGTCGACGGCTTCAAGCTCAACGTCCTCGAGCGCCGACCCCCGCACTTTAGCGAGAAGAAAAAGTACCCCGTGCTCTTCTACCAGTACTCCGGACCGGGCAGCCAGCAAGTCGATCGTCAGTTCAAAGTCGACTTTGAATCCTTCATCGCCTCGTCGCTGGGCTACATCGTCGTCACCGTCGACGGCCGCGGCACAGGCTTCCTCGGTCGCAAGCTGCGCTGCATCACGCGTGGCAATATCGGGCACTATGAAGCCCTGGATCAGATTGCGGCGGGCAAGATATGGGCGAAGAAGGAGTACGTCGACGAAGACCGCATGGCGATTTGGGGATGGTCGTACGGCGGTTTCCAGACGCTGAAGACGCTTGAGACGGATGCGGGCGAGACATTCAAGTACGGCATGGCCGTTGCGCCCGTCACGGATTGGCGGTTCTACGGCAAGCTTCCCTCCATTTACTCGCTCGACGAGCGATTTGCTGACCAATTCTCTAGACTCCATATATACAGAGCGCTACATGCACACCCCTCAACACAACGCTGCCGGGTACGACAACACCTCCATCTCCAACGTCAACAACCTCGCTCAGAACGTCCGCTTCCTTGTCATGCACGGCATTGCAGACGATAACGTGCACATGCAGAACACGCTCACGCTGCTTGACAAATTGGATCTCGCGGGCGTGGAAAATTACGACGTCCACGTCTTCCCGGACTCGGATCATAGCATCTATTTCCATAACGCGAATCGCATTGTCTACGACAAGTTGACATGGTGGTTGACGAATGCGTTTAACGGCGAGTGGTTGCGGTTGCAGAATGTGCGGCCGAAGGCGATGAGCGAGGGGAAGGAGAAGCGGAGATAGGATACGCATTCTTTGTTATCGGTGCATTTGGGTTAAGTCGTGGTGTTAATGCACTCTACTTCTCAGCATATCTTGAAATTCGACATTCACTTTCTTGCTTGGTTTCGAAGCTTCCACTTGGCCTGCTCAACTTCTCTGCTCAGCCTACGTCTCACGCAAGCCTCAGATGGTTTCTACGTCTCCGAGAAAACTCCCCCTGTCTCCTCGTGTCCTCCCACCTTTAGGAAGACTTTCATGCTCTCCAGCACACTCTTCTTCAACCCCTCCCTCCTGACGTTCTGCCCTGGAAACCCGCCGTACGTCTCCTCGAAGTCAAACGGCTTGAGCGCGGTCCAAATGTTGTGAATCTTGGCTGGCGGCAATGGGATCATGTTCGGGTAGCTCCACATAAAGCTGAAGCTGGTAGTGTGGGAGGAAGTGGACGGGTGTGTGGCATTGAAGAATCCAGACTAGTAGTAGGTATTAATTCGTGCACGCGATCTCGGGGTTGGGAAGGGAGACATACAGGCACACTCATGATCGTATCGGCGATGAATAGTTTCTTCTCCCAGTGCAGCACACTGCTACCGTCGAAATGGCCGCCGCACTGCACCACCGTCACACCTGGAGATACCTGAGCAGCGCCTCTGTACGATATCCGAGATCCGTGCTTGTCCTCGCGGTTTAACCACTCTGCATCGTCGGCTGCTACGTATACCGGACACTTGAATTGAGCCGCCCATTCGAGGTGCGTGGTGTAGAAGTGGGGATGCGATATGACAATAGCTTTCAGCCCCCCTTTCCCGTTGATGAAGTCAATAGTATCTTGGTTCAGGAAGGCAATCAGGTCCCACAGAACGTTACCGTGCTCCGTCTGCAGGAGGATGGCGCGCTCGCCGATGCCGAGCTGTTTGCGAGTTGTTGTGCTGTCGCTCAGACCGGGAGGGAGCTCGGCTGGCGTCAACGGTGCCGTGGTGATGTAGTGGATGCGAGGATCGTGCTCGTCGGTTTTGAATTCGTTCTTCTGGGTGTCTTGCGAAACATTTAGGCTGGTCCAGGTTTGGCCGTGAGCCGGGACGTATTGGCGCGGGTCCTGGGGATGTCAGCTGTGAATTGACGTATAGGTAGAGCAATAGTTCATTGATTGACTCGAAGTATGCATTCCCTCTCGTCCCAGACCCTCGCGGATCCTGAGGATGTGAGCTGCAAGCTGCCTTCGAGTAGAGGAAGAAAGTACGGATTGATCAAAGTGGACGAATCGCTGTTCAAGTGGAGGTAACGATTGATTTGCTATCACTTACAAGACAGATTCGGCACTCTTTTGGTGGTGAGGACAGCGGGACGTCATACTGAGTGCCGCATACTTCGCATATAGCCAGATCTCCTGATTCAAACTTCATGGTGAGAGGCAAGGCATACGAAGAGCTAAGAAAGAAAGCTTTGGCTTGGTGATCATTGTTGTGTGACTTCTGCGGTGTTTATGTACGTGTAAAGTGGGGGTGTAGAGCTGACTGCCTAGATGGGATAGCTTACATGCGGAAAGCTACCCCACAGCTTACCAATGCAGTGTTATGTCATGCCTAGGTATGAAGCGAATGTGTAAGGTTTCGGGTCTGGAAGGACATTGGTCATTTTGAGGACGACTCTAGATAGTGCATCACACAATTTGAACTGCTGGAACCAGGATGGTGTGTCTCGTGCTCATCGTGAAGTCATGGCGAGGAAGGGCCGAACACCGCAATGAAGGAGTTTGCGAAGGATTCATGACAAAGATCCACCAAGGATCCAAATCTCGCCGTTCGCGACCTTGTCAGCAATGCTCGTGACTTCGATGTTGCCAGGCTGGATTTGCGGACTTCGTCAGCAACGGTCAAGAGGTCTGAAAAGCATTGCATAGTGAATTTCTGCAAACGAGAATGTCAAGAAAGAGAGCTACAAGCACAGGCCGAAGCGATTGACAGTCTCGTCAAAAACGATGGTCGTGGTGGTAGGGCTCAGGTACCGTCCGTCGCTAAGTAGCGCGATCTCGGACCTTCACCCCACAACACCCACACCGCGGCAAAAAAATATCCTGGGGTGCTCAACTATTGTTGAACGAATGTTGATGAGGACGGGACTCGAACCCGCGCCACTTTCGTGACCAGGAAGCTGATTGCTCAGCAATGCTAAGGAGAGACCTTAACCTGGCGCCATAACCAACTCGGCCACCTCACCCTGCTGAGTAGTAAACCCAGTTGTTCTTTGATGAAGTTTCTGGAAATAGCACAGTATATATTGTGGATATGCTCATCATTGTCGTACTCTGTGTATCTCCAATCCATCGGGCAGCAGAATCCCTGCGCCATGTAGGGCTGTGAAATTCTTCGGAAACTTATTCTGTGTAGAGCACCAAAAGTGTGTTTGGGTATCATTCAGTCCCTTAGATGCAACCGTTCGGCAAGTATAATAGTAATGTTGATTAGACTATGGGTTAAGCTACCAGCCAGGACGGCCAAACCAAAGCCCGATGCCGATCACCAACCTCTGACTTCTCCATAGATCTTCCGCATCACCACCCTCATGTACCATTAGTACTGCCGGTGACATCCCTTTCTCAAGCAGTACTTTCACTACAAAGGTAGCCGGAGAAGTGGAAGCTTCGATCGCCCAAGGCAGCGCCGCCACGACAAGCCCCCGTGGTCTGCTCACAACCTAGATATAAGGCCACGGGCCTCAAGCCCTAGAGACGTCTCGAGCTGGTCAAAATCCTTCGGATAATAGCTTCTGGGTCACTAGGGCTCCCATAGACTCTTCTCTGAGCTAAAAAGCAAGGATACCTCTCCTGTGTACAATTGCGATCAGATCAGACTGGTGGACGCTCGGATTCATCCGTCTTGCGCCGCAAAAAGATTCGGAAACAACTTTAGATGTCTGAAAGAGTTGTGAGTGGTCAACAGGGCCTATGCATCGTCTGAGTGCGGATTAAACCCTGTTGGTGCAATGATATCCTTATGGTATCCAATTCTTCCTGCGGTGCGAAGGACTGCCTAACTTTTGCTTATCCTGTATGCATCCTTTCCTTGTTTCTGCGTCTCCTTGGGTCAGTCTTTCAGGCAGTATCATTGCATTTGTCGACGCTTTGACGCAGCTCGCGTACCGCCAAGAAAGTGACCAACGCAGCTGTGGTGAAGCCTGCGATCGAACGGATTATCCTATCTGCTACAAAACTCGCGTGGAAGCTTTGGCGGTATTGCATTGGTCTAGGCTTGATGTTTCAGCTTCCTAGCCGTGAAGATGGGGCGTGCAGTGACAAATGTAGCAGATTTGGTGAAGGAAAGGGAAGCCTCGACGGGGCTTAGCGCGCGCAACGTGCCAGCGACGCGGCCACGCGAAGCAGCAAAACTCGCGTCTTGCGAAGAATTTCTCTTCTTTACGCTTCCGTTGCCCAGCGGGAATTTCTCACAAAGCGTACCTGGCCTGCGAGAACATCAGACATCAGACTACTGCCTCCTCGAGACGTAGGGGAGGCTTACACCGTAAGCTTTCTGGAAACCTCAGCCGCTTCCCCTCCCTCTTCCCCTTCCCCTCTTGCTCAGATTAGGGTGTGCTGTGAGAGCAGTCATACCTGAAAAGGCATCTTCGAGACTGACTAGAGTGCGCTGTGAGAGCAGTCGTACTTAAAAGGTACTCTTCTTACGTCTCGATTAGGATACGCTGTGAGAGCAGCCGTATTCAGAAGGACGTCTATGCATCTCGACTAGAGTGTGCTGCCTACTTACGGACCGAAAGGTTGCGTGCTATTCTCCTCTCTCTGCCTTCTACAATGGCTCCCCAATGCTTGTCGATTGCCGGTACCCCCGTGCCAACATCTTGTCTCACCTCACATCAGACGAGAACATCGCCTCCCGCCGCCCAGGATCAGGACATAGAGGGCCGTCGCCAGTATATCCAAGCGGACATCGTCAGAGTTCTCAATGCGCAGCCGCCACTGGAGAAAGGGTTTCCCTTCTCGGAAGTAATACCCTAGCCCATCATGCCTCAACTTGCAAAAGAGATAGATCCATACGCCAAGCAGCCAGCTCGACTCGTGTTCCTTTGTCGAACCCTAGTGTCGGACAACCGCGCGTCATCATCATCGTCCGTTCATCCGCGGAGATACCTGATGTGTGGTTTGCCGGGCATGAGAAGCTAGAAGCGGGTCTCAAAGAATTTGGGTGCTCGCTACTTCAACAGTTCAGGCGTACCTTTAACAACCGCGCGCCCGCAGTATTACACGCTGGTTGGAGGATGAAGACTGCGGAGCTCCCAGCGCCCCAGGAGTTTCACGACCGACACGACGACACTTCGCACAACCAGACGCACGCGCTCAATACGTGAAGGTGGACCAAGACAATCAACGAGGAGGTACATGGGGTCGACAATCCTATCATTGTGTCAATCGGATGGGATGGCTGGGCTTGCAACGTTGTCCGGATTCGCGAGTGGCTTAAGGCCATGCCAGACTTGCGATACATCATGCGCATTCCTAACACTAGTTACGGAATTGACGAGACCCTTCTCCAAGAAGCTGAGAGTTCTGGTGGGCGGATTTCGACTCGGTCTTGATTCTTGACGCTTTGCAAGGTTCGAGACAGGCTACTGAGGCTTTGCAGGTGTGCATCAAGGTTTGGAAACAAATACAAAGCAGCAAGGATGCTCGCTCCTCTGTCTTCACGCTGTCCAGTGGCCGAAATCGCGTTGCAAACCCAGCTCGGCAGTCTGAAGAGTATTTGGAGATCGATACAGACACTGAAGAATGATTCAATCCAACTATTTAACCTTTCTTGACCCAGTCTTTGCAGATTCCTTCAATGAGGTAGGCCTTAGCAGGGCTGCTTCCGCGTGCAACAAACGATCGGAGAATGATAGGGGACTCCAATCGCTTGCGCACCAAGCGCAATGCCCTCAGCGGCTTTGTCCTCATCCTACCAACGCTTCTTAACAGTCGTGTTGATGCGGAGTCTCGCCACACTCTTTCAACATCAAGTACTGCGTACGCCTTGGACGACCCAGCCAGCACTGTACTGTACGGTCCTATCCCTTGCTGCTTGTCAATGCTGACGAGGCTTCGGTTCACTTGCTGCTTTACTACTTAATATAGTGCACTCTTTCTTCTCCCTGCTGCTGTTCCTTGCCAGCCCTTACTGGTGACAGCAGACAGCGTACGACAATACTACTAAGTGACCCAGCTAGCCCCCTGAGCACTAGAACCCCAACTTTGACCGTGGGTTGGTGGATAGGTCTGGCGCCTCGATCGGAGTGACGAAGCATTTCATCAGCTTGACAAGTAACCGCGCAATGCCTTCAATAGTCTCGACACCTTGGGTGTGGGCAGCTTCCAGAACACCGAGCCCCAGTCCTGCAGAAGTGATCAAACATGGCATTCACACCTTACACGGTGCACATGCATAAGAATAGTAGGATGCAGACGGGCTTGTTTCATGTCCCAGCTGTTATTTGCCTTATTGATATCATGAAACCACCAAACCCTCGCCCAGTGTCGGTTCTCCCTTCTTGCAGGTAGTCTTGCACTATTGCAAGCGGCCATCATGTCCTGCGGCGCTTCCATTCCCCATCGCCCTTCACGTTTCGCTGCACGCTTTGGTCGGCGCATGTAGTCGTGCTCGCTTGAGTTCGGCAGTATGGGATGTCATGGTTTCTCGTGAAGGATGTGTTCAGTCTGCGGCTCGAACGAGGTTTGTCAGTAAACATGAATGAGCTGCGCAGATCGAAACTGACTTACGTGGTAGCAAGCCATCAATGTGCTTGTACGGATGGTACACAAAAGATGTCTGCGATTCGACATTCTGATGCATTTGGCACAGCTTAACGGGATCTGCACACTGCACAGACTGCATAGATGAGGTTTCTAGAGAGGTTACTCGTCGTGATGATAGGAGAATGCAGGGTCTTACCAAAGGCTGACCATATCGAGGAGTATTGGGAGAGGCAACGCACTCAGTCTGCTAGGCAGACCGCACATTTGTCGGAGATTTGACGGTGTACTATCTGTCGATTGTGGGCATATCGTACCGCATGCACAGCCTCTCAGATTGGGCGGAGAGTAAGGCTGACAGTGCGACATCATGATGGCTTGCGAGTATCCTTGCGAGGACTGATTATCTCGCTCCGGTGCAGGTGCACAATGAGTCGCTCGCCGTCTGACATAGTCTGGCTATGCTCTGGGTCGTCGAACCGGTCGGAGAGCGCCTTGATCTGCTTCGGGGAGACACCGTGCCATGATGGGCGCTTGCTGGTGGCATCCTTGGGATCCCAAGCCGGAGGTGCGTAGCCATGAGGTCGTGTGCCTGTGCAAAAGCAGTCAGGATCTTGTGTCCACCCAACTCCTCCGAGATGAAATCTTCTGACGACTTGTCAGTAAAGGCTATCGTATCGTGCCCAATCATCTCTGTGGCCTCGTCGTGCCAAATGTTATGGGCGTAGATCACTGCACGTTCTTCAGCTTGCCGGCGTTATTGATATGGATGCGCAGGCCGGTGAATTGAGTGCTCGACAGGTAGGATACCCTAACGATGACCTTCTTCTTCTCGTCGCTCGAAGCGTTCGACATGTGCAGGTGGCTGTATCCGATAGCAGGGGACCCCTCCATCTCTGGGAATTTTGATCGGTCGGGGAAAACGATGAGGGCCGGCTCAGAACGATTGACTTTCAGCTCATTGAACTTCTTCGGGATGTCTCTGACGGTACTCGCTGTGCACAAGGTCAGCTTTGCCTACCGGGGAGTTGATGAAGGGGCTGTTCTCCATCTGCTCTGCCTCCTTCAGAACGAACTTCCCAGGCAAAATCTTGACCACCGACTGGTTGGGACGAAGCACAACGCGCGTCTCGGAGCCCTCATCTTCGTCGTGTGCTGCATCCGCAGCCGGAGCTGGCTCAGCTGGTGCAGCTGATGCCTGAGGCTCAATTAGGGTGTCGAAGCGCCCAGTGGTGATCTTCTTACCAAATCGTGAAGACATGATGAAAAAAAAAAAGGAAAAGAAAAATTGCACGTACTCTTTCGAGCCGTAAGTTGTGTGTTTTTAGGAAGTAGCTACTCGCGCAGTACTGCCCTAATCGTCATGAGGTAACTTTTCAGAAGACACTGCCTGCGCAGTACCCTCCTATTCAGAACCGGAAAATGAGGGCCTTTCAGAAGATATCTGCATGCGCAGTACCTCCCTGATTGGTGTAGCGGT